TTTTTTTTTTTAACATGTCACAGTCAGGAATGAAATGAATACATTGAGAAAAAGGGACAGAAATCTCAAAATTCCAAAGTCATTCTGGAGTGGGGACAGAACATTCTAAAGCAACGTGGTGAAGTCATGTGGAAACCTTCTTGGGGCTTGCCCCTGTCTGGCCCGGAGCCCACTGCCCACCTCCCTGCCCCGAGCCATCAAGTGTCTGTCCCTCTCTGTCCCTTCCCCGAGGGTGGGCAGCCCTCGCAGCGCGAACACTCACGCAGGTGCGCTGGCAGGCGGATCGAGTCTTCCTCCATCCTGAGCGCTCGAGGCACTGGAACATGAAGTGGAGTCGAGGAAGCGTAACTCGTCACCGGGCTCTCTGGAGGTGTATATGAAATTCGTTCCTGCTGTTGAAAATAAGGGCAGGAAGAGGGGAGAGGGGGAAAAAGACAATGAAAGCTTAGAATGGAGGTGTGCCATCATCTGGGGGGCAGGGGTGGGGGCTGGCGTGCCAACTTCACCAGTTTGCTCTCCCCCATACAGATGCTGTATACAGTAGTCCTTCAGATGCCTGGCATCTGGGCTACATAATACAACTTTGCAAAGTTTGAAAATAGGGCTTTTCCTTTAGACTCAGGTCAATAGGTGTGCACTACTGTGGTTTGTTCAAATAAAGCGGGGGGATAAAAGGGAATAAAAAATAGGTCTAAGAGAATGGCTCAAAGGGAGCTTCTCCCCAAAATTACTTGCCCAAGTCACATACTTAATGTCATTCCTATGTTAAAGCCACATTTGCTCTTCTCTGGCACTATCCCCAGCTTCTACCCTACCTGTGTATGATTCTATACTCAGATCCGATGAGTGCGAGCCCAACAAGCGAAGTGGCTAAGTGATGGCTATAAGGGTGAGTTCTAGATTTATCTATGAGCACGATTTCAACCACCACAACCAAAAACACCCAACATTTAATTTTTTCCCTTCACAGCAGGGAATTATTTGTAACACTGATGGATATCTCCTTGAACCTTCCCTCTCCATCTCCGAATCCATAACTTCTTTCCCTCTTACGTATTTCAGAGTTCTCTCAAAGAATGATCTGAACTTAAGAGAAGTACTCTTTGACTGAAGATAGTTATCAACCAATAAAGCGGTGGGGAGGGAAGGATAATTATGAGTTTTAAGTTAAAATACTGGCAAGAAACCAACCACTGCATTCAGGAGAACAGGAGGGCGAGCGGCATCTCAGATCAACACACCACGGAGGCGGACTTGCAGTCCACGCGCAAACATAACTTCCGTGAGTTCCTGTGGGTTAACTGGGCAAAGTAAAGAGGGATACACAGGGTCCAAAACGGGGAAAGCCCAGTAAGATGCTGCTACGAAAATAAAAATCACGAGCCGAAGAAAATCATATGGATGTAAAGGTGAAGGGGTATTTACGTTTTGGAAAGATCCTTCCTGAACCTTTTACATCTCATCAGTGTACAAAGGGAGGCAGGGAGTCCCCGGCCCTATAGCCAAATTAAAACTTTTCTTCTGCTCATAGCCTGGAAAGTTTGGTGGTTGTGGTAGGAAGTTTCGATTTTAAATGAATAGATACATATTGTTGTAATTTCCAAATGGCATCTCTCTAACCTTCCCTAAGGCACCCACCAGCAGCAAAACTAGTGCGGTTGGAATATTTTTGTTTAAATGTGCATCCTGAAGTTTCCTGATGCAATTTCTTAATTAAGGACAGACACATATATCTTAGCTTTCATATCTGCATCAATCAAGACGTCCTGTGAAAGGTCACCCGGAGGCAAAACCTTCAACTTCACTTTTCTTGAACGTTACCAAACATCACACGTATTGCAAGAAACTCTAACTGAAGGGTGAGTTATACTTTTTGGTGTTTGGTTTGGGGTTGTTTGGGGTGAAAGAGGTAAAGACATAAACACGCCCAGAGGAAATGCATATAAAATCTGTTTAGGGTTTTTTTGTTTTGTTTTGTTTTGTTTTTAAGGGGAGATGGTCTTTTAAGTATTTCAAACATTGTTTATTTTTCTACTTTAACAAATTCTCCATATTCTGCAACCCTCACCTGAGCCCCTAGTCCTGTTACATGTATGTCTGGATCTCTACTGCTAACTCTGTTCCCAGAAATAGCTTTCTGTTTTGTTAGGGGTTTTTGCAGAAGTGAAACTGTGGGTGAAGAAAACATTGAGCCAAGTGTCTTCAGATGACACTGCTTGAGCCCGAGACGAAAAGACGGTATTTCCTAATATGATGACTTTACCCTTATAGCAAGGAGACGCTCACAAGATCCCCCAACTAGGCCACTAGAGAGAGGCCACCTCATCCCAACCTCCCCTGACTCTTTCAAGGGCAATCTAGGAGAAGCCTAGCCCTTGAAGCTGATTTTACTCTATTACTTGGGAAATCTACCTCCAGCCTACTGACAAAAGAGTCAAATTAGGTATCATTTTTATTCTTTTTTTTTAATTTTTTGAGACAGAGTCTCACTTTGTCTCCCTCGGTAGAGTGCCATGGCATCATAGCTCACAGCAACCTCAAACTCTTGGGCTCAAGTGATTCTCTTGCCTTAGCCTCCCAAGTAGCTGGGACTACAGATGCCCGTCACAATGCTTGCCTATTTTTAGAGACGGTGTCCTGCTCTTGCTCAGGCTGGTCTTGAACCCCTGAGCTCAAGCCATCCACCCACCTTGGCCTCCCAGAGTGCTAGGATTACAGGCGTGAGCCACTGCGCCCAGCCTAGGTATCACTTTTAAAGTGTATATTAATGGATCGAGCATGATGGCTCGTGCCTGTAATGCTACCACTCTGGGACGCTGAGACAAGTAGATAGCCTGGGCTCAGAAGTTTGAGAGCAGCCTGAACAACAGCAAGAACCCCATCTCTACTTAAAAAAAAAAAAAGAAAATGAAAGAATGAAAAATTAGGCAGGCATTATGGTGGGCAGCTGTAGTTCCACCTACTCAGGAGGCTGAGGCAAGAGGATGATTTGAGGCCAAAAGTTTGAGGCTGCTGTGAGGTTTGATACTATGGCACTCTCCTAGGGTGGCTCTAAATAAATGAATAGAGTACATACACATATTCTGATTTGATAAATTATCATTGAGTGTAATTTCATTCTCTGTACTCTAAAAGCAACACCTCCATGGATTTTCACATCTGTGGTTCCCTGACCTTCCAGCTACTCTGAAATGCCACACTTCCACACTTGCTCTGGGATGTTATACCATCCCCACCACCTATCACCTGCACAATTTTAGATGGAGACAACCAGGCTGTTTCATGATGAAAGTATAAAAGGAAGGCCAGAGACTGACAGATTATGGCCCACTAGTCTCCTCTCCCTCCTAATGATGGTTTTTACTTGGCTCACAGACAGTATTTGACACCTCCCATAAGCTCAGGTCACGAGCCCTTTCAAAGGTTCAGTGAAGAGACCTGCCAGTAACAAAGGAGAAGATACCTGGACCAAGAGAAGCAAAATGTGCTCCTAGGGCCTTGAGCAATTTGCCAGCAGCCACAACAGACCTACAGTAACTCGGGGTTCAGCAGTTAGCAGAGCACTCAGGAGAACCCAGAAAGGATGCTACCCAGTGTGTGGGTTCCTTCCAAGGAGAACGAAACACACACCTGGGAATCCCGGGTTATAGACTTCACTCCTTTTGTCTCTCTTCTTGCGAATCCCTAGCATAACTCACAAGGTCCTCATTTTTTATTCTATTGCTATCATCACTCACTTAACATCTACCGAGGCTCATCAGCAATTAGAAAAATTAAACAAATACCACTACAGGCAGTCCCCGAGGTACAACCACAACACTTACACATAACTCACATTTAAGAACAAAGGCTCTTACAGGAAGTCTCCGAGTGACAAACACCCAATTGACCTATAACTTGCACTTATGCATGGAGGCCATTAGGGGAATAGAAAAATGTATCTGTTCCAACTTATATACAAACTCAACTTAAGAACAAACTTACAGAACCTATATCATTCATAAGCTGGGTACCGCCTCTATCTCCGATGGAGACGCTAGCCCAGGGGTGTCCAATCTTTTTTCTTTCTGCATACATTCAAAGATTCGGAGAGTTGTCTTGAGCCACACATTAAATACACCAACACTCATGAAAGCCGATGAGCAAACATAAAAGGTCTGTGCATACTTTCCTTGATATCCGACACCACATTTAAGCAAAAAAAGAATGTCCTCACAAAATCAGCATAGGACCCAGCTGCGGGCTGGACACCTCTGTGAGAGAAGCTTGAAGGAGACTAACATCCAATTATCCAAATAAAGGGAATCTTTACTTTTTTGACTGCTTCTCTGGTCCACGTCTAAACGTGACTCAAATTGTCAGACAGATGAAAACTAGAGGTGTTTTATTTAACATTGGGGAGGAGGGAGTAATGATTTTCCCAAGAGGATTATAACTACTGGCTCTAATTAAATTATAATGCTACAGATACAGAAATTAATGCACTCAAGGGTTACAGGGAGATGAATTGCCAGTGGAGGTCAATAATGTGACTGAAAATGCCGCGATGTGATTACATTATTGTTTAGATGCTGCAAGAAAACCAAATATGCTGCTCTCAAATTTGCAGATACAACCTGTCACACCAACCGGCTGAACAAAAGGGCAGCCTTACAATTTCAGAGGCCAATTCAAGAACGGGGAGAGAGGAGCAGCGTGAAGCTGTGGGAAGAGAAAATAAGGCTGCAAATAGTCAGAGGTTTCAAAGGGGCTGAAATGTAAATTGTACTAACCATTACAGAAAGATTTTTTCTTTCTTTCTTTTTTTTCTTTTTTTTGTTGTTGGTATAGAGTATGGAATTAGGATTGTCTCCTCAAAGCACAAACTGCTGAATCCAAGATGATTCCTTCCCTCTCCTCATTGCTCCCCAGCCACGAAGGGCCAGTGAAGGGTACCCATCTAATTCTGCTCATTCTTAAACCAATGTTAGGACCCTGTGACTTCCCTGTAAAACAGGCTTTTACACATTTTATGCTTGGTAGGAGAATGGCATTTCTCCACCCCTCACCTCAGTCCTTGGCTGCATATTACGGAATAGTCTAGAAATGTATATTATTATTATTAGCAAAAAAAGTCTTTCCCCTTCACAAATGATTCAATATAAAGCTTCTATAAATGATAGGGATTTCCCTTAGTGAATTTACACCATTAACTCTGAAAAGGCTGAGGGGTTGGTAAACATAGAGCCCTTTGCTTACTAAATATTAACATTTGGGGGGAGGAGGGGGAGACAGAGTCTCACTCTTGTTTTCCCAGGTAGAGTGCCATGGAGTCCTCTTAGCTTACAGCAACTTCAAACTCTTGGGCTCAAGTGATTCACTTGTCTCAGCCTCCTGAGCCGCAGGGACTACA